ATTGAAATAGTTTTGTCTGAGCGAAGCCGCCGAAAATGAAATCCTCCTTTTGTGGAAGGATTTGTGTTCAGACACATGGATGATCCATTATTAACACATCTGAATGCGATTTGGCTCTCTGACAGGCTGTGCAGATGGTCCTAACCACATTTCAGACAGCTTCTACCATCCTGGGATCTAAAGAGTTCAAGACATCAATTATTGCGCAAATCTCAAGAACTCAAGACGCTGAGATGGTGAAATATTACCAACTCCTAGAGACCAGCTGATCTTTGCTTGAAGCTTAAGATTAATATATATATATACACATATATATATGTATATATGTGTGTGTGTGTTTGTGTAGCTATTGAGTTACAAAAGCACTTTTAGTATTTCTTTTCACAGCCGGTTTGTGTGTGCTGTTTTTAAGGGTTCGAGCTCTCAGTTGGACATAAAAATCAATAAGAGTTTTAAGGGTGAACTTTCTTAACCTCAACTAAGCATTCTTTATCCTTTTTGACAACCTACTCACCCTGGTCAGAATGTGTGAAATCATGTGTGATTTCATATTTTTACGTCTGATAAACAAGCTCAGGACATACGCACATACGGGGAGGCATATTTCCTTTGAAATATTTGAGGGCGAAGTGAAAAGCGAAAGTTTCAAAAGCTTGTATAGAATGTGTTCAGCATTTCCTGAGAGGCTGAGAAATTAAACATTAATGGAGGAAATCTCAGAAAAAGCTCAGGCTCTATTGCTTTATTGCTTCAACTTGTGATGTAATGGACCCCCCCACACACATACAGCAGGGGATATTTCACCGAAGAAGAATGAAGGACAACATGAGTGACGTAAATCAGAGACACCCAATCAGGTAATTCTTTAGTTAGATTAATAATAAAGGCACAGGCTCTGCATATAATGAAATGTAATGCAATTCATTTAAATGCATTTAACTGTTATTTTGCAAAAAATATTATATTCCTTTTTCCAACATTTGAAAGCATTCCTGTACATGATTCATGAATATGATTTATTTATTCACATTTGCTTTTAAAAGCAATGAGATGTAAATTCCTATAGAGTAGAAACTGACTCAAAGACCATTAAATAGATATTATTAATAATTGATTATTGTCGTCACTGGGTTTTCAAAACCACATCCAAGGGGGCAAAATAAAACTACAGGGGTCACAAATCTGTAAAAGTAGTTCAGCAATTTGGGGAGGAAATCCCATTTGATTGGTGCAAATTAAAGCTAAATATAATAATTTAAAAAATCTAATAATTTCTCATTCATAATTTGAGGTAGCTTCCTTGAAAAAGCTACCACAAGTTATGTTGGCACATGAAACAGAAATGATCCAGTACTCTGGGCTGAAATAGAGTTTCTACATCATAATGAGCTTGAAAGTAAGTATTTGGTATATGCGCTGCCTGAAGCTTTTTAGTCATCTTTTGTACGTAGTTGGTGCAAATAGTTCTGACCTGCTGTCAGTGATTCTCAGCTGACTTCTTGTCATTGGGTATAGTTCAGCCTTTCAGTGTTTCTCTTGCTAAAAAAATGGCTTCATGACAGCTGCGCATCTATGGAGACCATCTCTAATGAGACTTGGACTTAGATGGACCTTCAGCTCTGGCTTCAGATGCATCTCTCAGGTCGTGTGTTAGGTCTTTGGTGGATTTTGACACAATCTGCTTGAGAAAGCTTTTTTCTTTTCTTTTTCTCAGGCCTGTCGCTTCTTCTTTTGTCCTTCACTTGTCAAGGTTCTGCAGATTTTTGTGAGGACATCCAGCACGCTATGCTGATAAATACCGGTACCAGGTTTTTAGCTCATAGGGCCCATGGAAAGAACTTCTTGTTGCATATACATTTCTTTCAAAATGTTCAGTGATAAAGCCAGATGTGAGTGTTTCAAAAAAACCTTTAAAATGCCTGGTAAACTATGAGGGGTGGCCACTTTAAAAGATTAGAAGTTAGCTAAAAAGAGATGAGGAATGGCTCAAGACCTTTACATCGCACTGTGTGTCCAACAAATCCGTACTTGTTACCATACAATGTCTGGTGATGGTTGAACAATGTTAGCCGGTCTAAACTGAGCTGTAACTTCATCTGACATGACTGTGAGAGCAGGTTCAGTTTGCCGTTGTTTATAACTAATATTTGGATTTTGTCGAGTTAACCTGAGACACAAACATGCCCCCTCGGTTTTTCCTCCACATAACCCTCTCCTCATCTGACTTCCAACACTAACCACAGTAAAAAAAAAAGAAAACCTGCTCCTTTATGGGGCGGGTGCTGGTCTCCTCCTTAAGACGGCCACAGTCTTCTGCAGGCCGGCCCTTCCTCTGCCTCCGCTCCATGGCCAACACTGCAGCAGGTAGTGATGGAACAAAATGTTCACGTTCAGAGAAAACATGTCATTCTCAGGCTTTTGCTTCACCATGAACATTTTTTTCCGGCTTTTTAGATATGCTGTTGGATATTTGACATTCAATGCAGCCCCCCGTCTCAGAGTTAATCTAAGATAAACTACATATTGATTATAGAGTTCTTTGTCCTTTTGCTCATGTCTACCATGATGATGTATATTGACAAAGGATCCGTCTGTCCTACGTCCTTTATTCATTTTTTCATTTACTGTACCTCTAATTTTAGCCTCCCTTCACCATTCTTTGCCCCCCCTCTCCCTCCTCAGCCCTCCCCTCTCTGAGCCTTCTGAATAGAAGCTGAGAATAGACTCGAGGCTGCTTCAGTCATAGCTCTGAAGCAGGAATGCCTATATATGGAGTCTTACACCCCGCCGAGCGCTGATGGAGACGCAGGTACATCGGCGAACGTGGGCTGCTGCGATTTGTAAAGAGAGGTGTTGGTGGTGGAGAGGGAGGGAGGGAGGGAGGGAGAGCTATCTCCCTACTATTATGTGCGTGTGCATCATCACAAGTGAGAGGCCATCTGCGTGTGTCCGTGTGCACATCCGCGCACACACAAAAAAAATCTCAATGCCAAGTGTGTGCGTCAGACTGAGTCAGATAGTGTCTCATTCTGTCTCGTCATGCGTGTGCGTCAGTGCTGTTGCTGAGCGAAACTCGCTCCAGGGGAAGAAACGCAGGAGAGTGAAGGGGAGGGAGGAAGAGAGGCAAGCATGGTGGGACGATGATGGTGGTGATGATGAGGCGGAGGGAGGAACCGGAGGCTGGACTGTGACGACACAAATGCATCATCTGCATTAAGTGCACTTTATTATAAATGCATTTGTATGACAACCAAATACACTTATAAGCATCACAATAGAACACTGGTCCACAATGTCCATTCTGTAGTAAGTAAGATGTTTTGAATATATTCCATCTGGATGATAAAAACCTCTTTCTTGTATGTACAGACCAATAACAATTTCATACAAATGTACAAATGTGTACAACCTTTCTGAAAAGAGCATATGCCTACATCCTCAGACATAATGCATATGAAATAGCATCAAATATCACACAAACAATAATAGAATTTTACACATGTATATTAACTTAGCCTTTAATAGCTAGAACGTAGGAATCAATCCTTTACTTGACCGTAGACAACTCTACGTGAGCATGTCGACACCATGGGAATTGTACCATTCTCAACCCGTGTCGTTTGGTAACTGAATAGAAATAGCACCCCGTCCCCATTTTCATTTTTTAAAACAAAACCATTGTATTCTAACCCCTCTCAAAAAAGAAGAATCGCTCATTCACATAGTCAATTGTGCCTCACTACACCGCGCTCCAGGGGAGCAACGATGCAACTGTCCATGTTGAATGGACGTGATAAAGAGTTCAGAGCTCAGCAGGTCAGGGCCGCGCCGGGCACACAGGAGCCGCTATAAGCTGCCAGCATTGCAAATATTGATGCTGCAAGAATATCCAGCCGACTGCCCTCCGGCCAATGGGGGTGGGGGGGGACCCGATGAGCCTACATTCAGAGTCTTAATGTACAGTACAGCGTAGCAGTGGGTTTGTGGCGTGATCGGAGCCCCGGCAGACTTCCAGACAATCTCTCGTTCGGTGTTTTTATCTCGTCAGAGAGAGGGACACCGTCAGCATCCTGGAGACTTTCTCGTGCCAGGATCTCCTCACACGTTTCTTTTTTTTGCTGTTCCTTTTTTTGTTCGTTTTTGTCTTTTTTGCACATCACATTGATACACAAGAGTTCAGATGGAGAGATAAATATGAAATGTTAAAGGTTTCGAAGCAGCAAACTCAAAGCTCAAAGTATCTCAGGTTTGGTTAAACATCATTTGTGAGTTTTGGTGGAGAATAGAAAGTTGAGAGGAATGTTTTCAAACCAGAGCTATCCAGGCTCTGTTGGCTAAATAGAAGATTTCATACAAGAAATCCTTTGTCTGTTTGTTTTTTTGTACTGATTGTTCATTGTCCTGTAAGGTTGTAAACTGTTGTAAACATTTGACTCCCAATACATTTGAGGTTTGGGTTTGCGTTGCTGCATGTAAGACAAAAGTGCTGTAATTCATCTCCCGACTTAAATAGCAAGAAATGTATCATTGTTTTTGTTCACAACAGATATTTCACTACGAGTGAATACATACGCGCGTCTGAAGGTTGGACAGCGCTTACGAGTTCAGATATTTTTCTCTGTCCGATCCCACCTGAAGCTCAGGTAACAGAGAAGCTGAGAGAGACACTGCATGGACCCAGAACCCAGTCAGTTATGGGTCCATGAAGTTGCACCATAGTGAAAATGTTGCACCAGTTTTTTGCAGTATTACACAGATAAATGACTGAACAAAAATAGAAAGCCAATCTTTGTTCTCAGGAGACATGTAGGAGTTAAAGTCCTTAAGTTGTATATACATTATGTATATTTATACACTTAATTATTCTTTACTTTTCAGTAAAATGGTCTCCACAAAATATGACAATATGCCATACTTAATGAAGTAAGTCACAGACTTATTTTAGAACGGAGGAACACTTCCACTCCCATCTGAAAGACAAAAAGTGACAGAGAAAAAAAGTTAGTCGTCTGTTTTCAGGGCATGTTTTTGGGTGTGTTTTTTTTGTTTTTTCATAAGTCGGGACCCTCTTACCTTTGTGGAAGCACTGTGGTGATGGATGACATTGGAGTTGATACAACTCAGGTTGTTGCCCTAAGCCAGGGGCGATCGAGGCACCTGCCCCAAACATGGGTTCCAGGACGGCCAGTTCCTCCAGGAGGGACTGAGTGCAAGACACGGCGGGCGTGGGCGAGGCCATGGGCGTGGAGGTGGCGGGGCTCGGGGAGGCGGTGAGGATGAGGGGGGGTGAAGCCGGGACGGAGGAGCAGGAGGACACGGGAGATGACGCCACCTCGACCTCCATTGCCTCCTCCGCTTGTCCCTCCCCCTCCGCCTTTCCCCCGGCCTCGGCGGCCTCGGTCGCCCCACACCCGGCCATGGAGTTACTTTGCGCCGATTGGACGCTACAGACGTGGCCCGCTCCCTCAAACTGGGAGGGTTGGTGCCAGCACGCGAGGGTCTGAGGGGAGGCTGGGCTGGAGGGATGGGGCGGGGGGGAGTCGGAGAGGGAAGGGGAGCAGAGGCCGGGTGTCTGGGGGGGAGCAAAGTCGTCTTGCAGGAGGGTTTCTAAGATGCTCTCTTCAAACAGAGAATCATCATCGTCGAGGAAGAAGGGGACATCCAGACCTCTCCACCCCTTGATGGGATAAAACTCCCTAAGTATGTGGACTGAATCGGCAGGTTCTACAGCCGCAGACAAGAAGGGGGACGGGGGGGAGGAGGAGGGGGAAAACGGGGGAGGAGAAAGCTTGGACAAGAGAGGGTCCAGGTAGAATCCCTCAGCCAGGGAGCTGATGTGTTGAGCTAAGAGGGAGATCTCGGCCCTCTCCTTTTCTCTCTCTAGAGAGAAGAACGAGATGCAGGGCTGTTTACCGGGGGACGCCTCAGGGGTGAGGAGGCCTTCGGGGGGGCACTGGAGGGCCCCCAGGGGCACGTCGACGTACAGCGGACCCCGGACCTCGGGCAGGGTCATCACCGTGCAGTCCCCGTCTCCGGGGCTGTCGGGGGTCGGGGGCAGTTTCTCGTACAGGGAGCCGCTGCAGGGCTCGATGGGGAAGAGCAGGTCGGTGGACGGGGTGGGAAGCACCAGGGGCAGCTTGGTGGACAGGGTGGTGGGCGGCACCGGGCTGGAGGCCGTGGTCGGCGGGGCGGTGGAGGACGCCGACGGGGCCAGGGAGGTGGTGGTGGTGGCGGTGGTAGCGGAGGGCGGGGGAGTGGTCGTGCCTGTCGGGTCAAAGCTGAACAGGGGCTCGCTGAACGGAAAGCTGGCCCCGCCGACCTGGGGGGTGTAGGGGGGAGTGCACACAAACTCTTTGGTCTGCTGAGCTTGAGAGGTGGGGACAGGGGGGAGAGGCAGGGGGAGAGCTGGCAGGGGAGGGTCAAGCTGAAAGGAGGGGGGCAGGAGAATGTTCTGGGTCAGAAAGTCTAGGTCTGCTACTGTCTCGACAGTGACCGGAGTGGGGGAGGAGGCGGCCGAAGGGGTCTCGGCCGGGTGCTGCTGGAAGAAGCTCTCCTCCTCCAGAGAGGAGATGCTGGAGCGGGGGTCCCCCTCCAGCTGCATGGGCTCGGCCGCAGAGCTGCCCGGCTCGTCGGAGGAGCCCACGCTGCAGCCGGCCGTGCTGAAGTCGAAGGACTGGGCGGACAGGCCGCTGCTGCCCGGCGTGAACACCTGGTCGGGGCTGGACAGGGTGTCCGGGGACTGGAGATTGAGGCCCTCTTGCTGAGAGGCACCAGAGCTTAGGACCAGGGTCAGCTGGGTCTGCTCTGAGCTGAGCTGCTGACGCACTGACCAGGCCTCAGAGTCACTGAGAGACAGAACAGCAGAAAGACAAAGAGTTAGTTCACCCTCCTTTAATTTACTTTTTTAAAGTATTTTTTTCTCCAAATCGATGAGTGAGGTGTTGTTTTAAAAAGGACAGTAAATACCTGATGATGTAGTTGATGCTGCTGATGGGGATCTCTCCAGGCTGCAGTTGGAGAACCATGTAGAGCCAAACCCACGACTGGTCCTGAGCCTGGACGCGCACCACCATCTCGACTCTGCCCTCTCCCCCCTCTCTCACTGTTGAACATAATTCGTAGAACAACTTGGCGTTAGCATGGCTCGCGTTATTCGTCAGAATGTTTGTCATCGCGTGGCCGTGCCCGTGGGCACGCTGCGCGTAACTGCGTGGGCGGTGACTGGTTGTTTTTGCGTGTGGATTGTGCACTTACGAAGGCTACGGTGCTGAGCAGAGGCATGTGACAGATCCTGTGGGTGGATGAGGCTGTACCAGGAACGGGAGCGTAAAGCTGTCACATCAAAGCCGAGATAGGCGCTCACGCTGCAGGGCAGAGTGGGTGGTGACGTGTTAGCAGAGTGACATGTCTCCACTTGGTCTCACAAACACAATAATCTGCCGCTCCATATTAAAGCAACAGGTGAAGGGTGGAGCCGGAACTCACCTGTCCTGCGCTGTCTGGAGCCTCATGTCGCGGCCATGTTGGGAGTGGAAGCAAGCCAGGAATAAGTTGGTCTCAATCTGGGGGGCGGTGGAGGCCGACTCCCTCTCCAGGCCCTGACCGGAGCGCGTCTGCTGGGCCTCCAGAGGGGAGCAGAAGCACACCCACACGGGGTTGGAGGTCCAGTACGATCCGGTCGTGGGGGGGGCGGAAGGGGGAGAGAGGCAGCGGGCGCGGATCAGAACCGGTTTGTTTCCGGCACTCTGCCTCCGCACGGACTTCGAGGTGTTGAAACGGCAGCGAAAGAGACGATCTGCGGAAGAGAAGAGGGGTGGGGGGGTTAGTGGGAATCAAAATACGGTTGTCAGGCTGAAACGAACAGTTAAACTGGTGAAATGAACACGAAAGCCACGTCTTACCCATCTCCAGGGAAGTAGAGGTTGTCAGATTAGTCCTCATGACAAAGTGGTCTGAGGCGTCGATGATATCATAAACGCTGTCGCCCTGTGACACGAGATCCACCTGAAAACCGCACACAGAGACGGGGTTAGTAACGATGCCACGTTCCCCCCCACGAATCACACGAAACATCCCGTCCGTGTGGACTCACCATGGAGTGTCCGAGGTGCTCGGAGACGCTGTCTGACAGGTAGAGGAGCTTCCCCTCCCCGGTCAGCAGCATCAGGAAGCCCGGCAGCGCCTGCAGCAACTCCGACAGCTCGTGAAAAGACAGGAACCTCGCGGTTTCCTCGGGACTGGCATCAGCTCCCATCCCTAGAAGAGAAGAAACACAAACACAAAAAATGGAATGCTGTCAGTCTCGTCGCAGTGTTGTGATCTCTGCGGTAGATTTCAGCACCGCGGACAGAGACCGGCCGCTGTCCGTGGTGCAGCGTTTCAGCACCACGGACAGCGCCAAAGTGGCTATTTAACGGTTTTTAAGGCTTCCGCGTGGACGATTTCCGATCAATTTATGTCTCTGCTCTTATGAAATGAGATAGAAATCGAAACGAAATAAACATCTGAGCCTGATCAACAGAAACGCGCGCGCTGCCGCCGAAACACTTGTTGATTGCGCCACAGCGAAGGGACTGCGGTTAACACGGCCCCGCGCGAGAAACCATCAACAGGTCCCTCCGTCCTCATGAGCCGGGTTTTTCTTACCTTGAGTGAAGAAGACGGACTTCCTGGTGTACATGCAGGCGAGTGACATGATGTGCAGGTATGACAGCCGCGCTTTGTCCGCTTCGGATATGGGCAACAAGTCCTTCAGGTTCCGGATCTCGGCGTTGATCTGGTCCCGTCGAGCCTTGGAAGCTCCTTTGGTTGAGCGGTACATCGTGGTCTGTTGCTGCGAGAAGGGGGGTGGAAATACCGAAATTCCTCCAGATAGAAGTTGGAGAGCTGTGAGCGGAGTGCTGCGGAGCGTCGTGCCCCGTCTCTCTGGTGTGTTGGCAGAGACGGGCGTCGGGAGTGGAGGAGCTCTGAGTTGTGCTATTGGACTTTCATCTCAGCTGTTTGTTTTGGTTTTTCTTCAGAGCAAGGTTTATAAAACCTTCTCCTGATCTGTGTCCCACAACTTTGGGTCCGCCACAGCCTCCAGCTCGGATGCTGGCCAGCTGCTCGAGATGTCCGTCCCTCCTCTCGGAGTGCAGGGGAGTCTGCGGCTGTGGTAGCCGTCTCTCTGGCACACAAGTCCGGAACCCGTAAATCTGGTTGAGGGACTCTGCTCGCCGGTCACTTATATAGCCTGGGACTCCGTCGGAGCAGGGGGGCTCCCGACGCACCAACACCGACGTAAAACAGAGGGAGGGGGGTGAAGAGGGAGGGAGGGAGGGATGGGGCTCGATGTGTCTCATATCAGAGAAAGCAACGGTGAAACTCTCTCCCCCTCCCTTCCCCGCTGCCCTCTCCTCTCGGTGACTCTTCCTCGACGTCAGCTCTTCCTTTACTCGGTGATGACGTGGGCCTGAGATCGGGAGCTCCGGCGACGCAAAAATCCCGATTTGGACAAAACCGAGTAAGGGGCGGAGCAAGCGTAAAAACGTAAAGGGGGTGGCGGGGCTCCGGTGAATGGAAGGGGGGGGGGGGGAAGGGGGAAGAAGGGGGATGGGAAGACTGGGAAGGCTGTGATGCTGCATACGAAGGAAGTCTCTGCGTGTTTGTGTCTGGCACTCTATTTAGAGGCTATTGCATGCCCCCCCCCCCCCCCCCCCCCCCCCCCCC